TTTGGTAATATGCCTTCCCCTAGTAATTTTCTTACTTCCTTTAGTAGAAACCCCTACGTTGGCTATAGTTTATACTTTCGTTGCAAAGAAATTGAAGCTAAAAAAAAAGGATATCGGCTATTACAATTAATACTATCCAGGCCTTAACAACCTCAATATAATCTACAATAGAAAATATATTATTGATACGGATATATATATATATATATATATATATATTGTCTGATCACGCTACACTGTGCTATTTAGTCTACACAATGGGTAAGCGGTGCCGCTTCCTTTCTTAGTCTAAGGGAAAAACCGTGTTGTTGAATACTGGATGAAAACCCTCAGCTTCTCTATTTCCAACCGTAATACTAAATCCGAACTTTCATCCCGTCTCACCATGGGAGCCCGGGGAGTCGTGGTTGCTTCGATGTTTGTCGTCCGTTTTTATCGTTATCTTCTTTTTTCGTCCCAGTGAACATCGTTACTTCAGATTGGCTGGTATACTGAGACCCCTTCCCCCGCCCCACCTTACGCTTCGGGTGCCTCGAATATGCGCCGGGTGATTCTTCTTTCATCCTGTCTTCAGGGTTCAGGGGTAGAGGAGGAGGGGACTTACTCGTGGTACTGGATTTCTCCGCCGATTCAACTCTCCCCCAAAAATATTTTTCCTGGCACCCTCTGTTAGTTGGGTGTTAGAGGCCAGGCCAAAATTACCCTGTTTTTGGTGCAACTGGTGTTGGTGAGGGATGAATGAATGACGAAGCAGCCGACGGAAAAATAAGATCCAGGACTCCGTAGCATTCACGCAGGTTGCTGCTGCGGAAGAAGGGAAAAATGACCAACGACTTAAGGTCGTAGCTCGTTGGGGAAGCTACCAAGCTCTCGGACTGGTAGATTCCGGAGCTCAGTTGAATCTTATCTTACCTTAGTTCGTCAACCAACTGACAATCCCTTGGAAAAAGAAGAAGGCACCTTTTGTGGTAAAAGGACCTTTCAAGACCCAGACCGTGAGAGGGAAACATTACCACTCCCTATCACGGGTGGAAGGAAAGACGGTCGAAATCAGCTTCGACATCGTTGATATAGGGCCAACTAAGGAGATGATCCTAGGGCACCCATGGCATGTTGCATGCGACCCAGACATCAGTTGGAAGGATGGTGGCCACCTGCGTCCTCGGACGCGCCCAACCGCTGATGGGAAACCCGGAGCATGGAAGGAAGCAAGCTGCGATAGCAATGTTCCTACGGCCCCACCGCCAGCAGTACAGGAAGTTATGATTTGTACTATTGATAAGAGCGGCAAGGTTACGGAAGAAGGGTTAGTGACGTTGGTAGAGGTATCGGCAGTCAACGCTCAACACAAGTTCGACTATCAACTCTCTCCCAAATAATTTTTTTCTTGGCACCCGCTGTTAGTCGGTTGCTAGCGGAGAAGCCAAGAATTACCCTTTTTTGGTGCCTTTAGATGCCTTAGGGCTATCAATGGCTTAACCCACCATTTCGATCTTCGGCGGAGGGATTCTGGAGAGTTGACCTCCGTCTACGACAACGCCGGTAGCTCTCGAAGCCGAGCTCTTCGACAATATCTACCACTCGAGGAAAATAAAGGGGCGCCGAGGATAGTACCGTTCAACGGGCACAAGCCGCATCGAATGACAACCACCTCGAAAACTCTGCCTTAGGATGCCGCTTGCCGGACCCAAAACGACTGGGCCGCATTCTAATCGCTATATCTTCTTCGATCCTCAATGATATCGATAAATACATCGACTATCTCCTTTTTAACTAAGGGAGGACGGCGGACCAATTTTGGAGGTTTCTCCCCTTGAGATTTCCCTCCAACGACGTTGACCTCTATTACTTCAAATCAGCTACGGGATTTGTGGGAGTCCGTGCACGGGCGCGGACAGGAGGGCTCAGCCCGAGCAGCAAATGCTAATTGGGGCCCCTAACTAAGGTATCTCTTTTCGGGGGCAACGAATTTATCTGGCTTTAAGCTGTGGTTTGCGCTCTACTTTTTGGGGTTATAGAGGGAGGATTTGGGCTCTTTCTTGTATCTATTCCGGTAGCTGTCACACATCTCATGCCCTTCGGGAGGCGGAAGTAGACGTTAAAAATAACAACAACAACAACAACAACGAGTTCGACTATTACCAGAACCAACAGACGGAAAAGCCGAAGGCGACAATTCCGGAAGAATATCGCGGACACCCGGCTTTCGTCAGCAAGCATCTTGAAGGACTACCACCACGAGGACCGTGGGATCATGAGATCAAGCTCAAGGAAGGAGCCAAGCTCAAGTTCTTCAAAGTATACCACACCAATGAGAAACAAAACCAGGAGTTGAGGAAGTACTTGGACGAAGACTTAAAAAGAGGGCACATTCGGGAATCCACATCGTCAGCAGGGTACCCCATCCTCTTCGTGCCGAAGAAAGATGGAAAGCTACGACTTTGTGTTGATTACAGGCAACTGAATCATAAGACCGTGAGAAACAGTTATCCCCTACCCTTGATTTCGCGCATCCGGAATCAATTAGGAGGAGCACGATACTTCACGCGCCTTAATTTACCAGTTGCCTACGCCCACATTCGCATCAAAGATGGCGACGAATGGAAGACACCATCTTGCACACCCTATGGACACTACGAGTCCCTCTTTATGCCCTTCGGGTTGACTTATGCATCTGCGACATTGCAATCTGTCAGCGACCATGCCATTCGACCCTATCTCGACAAGTTCGCCATTTGCTACTTGGATGACATTCTCATATATTCCAAGATCCTCGAGGACCACAAGGAACATGTGGAGAAGGTTCTGGATGCACTACACCAGCACAACCTTTCGGTCAACATGGAAAAGAGTGAATTCCATGTGAGGGAGACCGTGTTTCTTGGGTATCTGATCTCGGAGAACGAGGTCAGGATGAAACCAAGCAAGGTGGAAGCCGTACGGAACTGGCCTGTTCCCAGGAACACGACCGCTGTACGCAGATTCCTAGGGTTTACCAACTTCTATCGCATGTTTATTCGCTATTACGGGAAAATCGCTAGGCCATTGTACGAGCTCACCAAGACGGAGGCTGTTTTCACATGGGGAAGGGAAGAACAGGAGGCTTTCAAAGCCATCTGCGATGCAGTTACCGCATACCCTGTGTTGAAGCTTCCTGACCCACGCAAGCAATTTGAAGTTGAGACGGATGCGTCAGATTACGCTATGGGAGGACAGTTGGGACAACGCAACGACCAAGGGAAATTACATCCTCTAGCGTTCTTCTCAAAGAAACTAGAAGGACCCCGG